GAACTGCAGAACTGCAGTCAGCTGAAGTAGCTTGCAGTGCTGCATTTAACCACTGCGCCACCTCACCTCAGCACTGACGTTGTTCCTGAAAATCCGCATCTCCTCGCTTCAACTCTCTTCACCTCTCAAAAGAGCAGGACTAGCAGCAACTTCTTTTCCTATCCACTAGTACAATGTTTTCTGAACTTGGCAACTTTCAAAATGTGTGGACTTCAACTCCCAGAGTTCCCCAGCCAGCGTGCTGTCTTGAGAATGCTGGGAGTTCTCTTAAGATGGCCAAATTTGAAAAACAAATTTGGTGTAACAGATTGGGCTGTTGAAGATGATTGCAGCCCCTGGCATACAATGTGTTTTCTTTTCTTTTTCCTCTTCAGACGAGAGTATCCCCCACAAATTACCCCCAAAATGTACCTTCTGGAATGGTGCAGGAAAGAGAAGCTGCCTCAACCTGCTTATGAAACAGTAAGATACCATAGGACGAAATTTATGTGTTTTAAACCATACCTCCCCAAAGGGAATCATCATCTTTTTTTATACAGTATATATAATTTTATTTATTATTTTTTCTTTAACATCCATAAATGCTTCGTGAACAATGTATTGTCTGCGTCAATATACTTTACATACAATTCTAATAAAGACATTACCATTTTAATATGCATAATCATAATTTTCCACCTAACATTTGTGTACACATAGTAATTATATGTTCTATTATATTTCAGTATATATAATACTCTTTTCCTAATTTCTACTTTCTGCTTCTTTTTGGTAACACTTAATAAAATAACCACCATGTTAAAAAAAGTATTCTATATCTATCCATCCTCTCTCGCCCTTTTTAGAATTTCAACTCTTATTAACTTTTTGGTGAATCTTTCATGCTTCCTCTGGCATCTTGTAACTCCTTTTATCCTGTTTATTTCATCTAAATATTTCCTCTGCCACAGCATCTATCTCTTCCTGTTGAATCTGTAGAGCCCCCATCCACAGTCGCCCCATCATTCAAAGGGAATCTCCTTATGCTGGTCTATGAGCGCAATAAAAATTTGATTGGAATAGGGGACCTTGTCCTCTTAAAACTTTAGCTCACATAGCAAGTTGGGGGTCTGTGCAAATATTGATTAACATATTTTTCGGACTATAGGACTCACCGGTGTATTATATGCACCAAGATATCAAAGAGATAGTAAGAAAAAAAAGTTTTTTCCTCCCTGGCCCTAGGAGCACTCTGTAGGCTTCAGCAGGGCTGGGGGAAGGCAAAAACACTCTTGTTTTTGCGAAAAACAGGCAGAAAATGGGCCATTTTTCACAAAATCAGAGGCAATTTTACCTTCCCCCAGCCCTGCTGAAGCCTGCAGAGTGCTTCTGGGGACTGGGGGAAGGCAAAAACGCCTTGATTTCTGCAAAAAACAGCCCCTTTTTCACCAAAATGGGATGCGGGGGTGGGGCTTCAGGAGGCCAAAAATGGCTCTTTCGGTATATAAGATGCACCAACATTTCCACGCTCTTTTTTGGGGGGGTGTGCGTCTTATACTCCAAAAAAATGGTATGTGTTTTATTTTTAAACATTTATTAACATTCCTTTTTTCTTGCAATTCGTCCCAGAGGAATACACATTCATGTTTTAAGTAAAGATTAAAGGAATACAAAAAATAAAACTCACTTTGCAAACTTTAATGACCTGCATAAAAATCAACTTTAGTGTTATCACTGCTTTGTGCAAATTATACTTTCTACAAGATCTACTCTTTATGTGTCCAGGGGGGGGGGGGGATTTTGACCTGGTCTGCTTGCACACTAGGCCCAAGCATCTTGAACCACAAACTGTCCTTCGAAATTCTCCAGCTTTTCAACCAGCCCTTAGCTCTGTCCGCTGGAGGAGCAGCTGTTCAGGAAAACCAAAGAACCCAAAGCCCCTTTTGAATGCGGTGGGTCAGCTGCCTTAAGCTTCCGGATCCTAGCTTTTAACGGCGGCTGGTTGCTCCCGGCCTCGAACGGAAATGCCGCACCTGTTGGGGATTTGATAGCTTCGCCAACATTTCATTCCAAGGCCCATTGAATGGTGGATCGTTTGCGTTGACTTCAAATCCAACACGCCTTTCATTTCTCACCTTGCTTTAGATCGAAAGACCGCAGGATCGACTGTTCTGTTCCGTTGTGACTGTTGCTGGGCAAAAATACAGCTCAACGTTATGGTAAGCAGCCTTTGGGGAAATAGTGTTGTTGTTGTTGTTTTTTACAAGGAGAGGATTTGCTAGAGAGAGTGAAGTTGTTCATGACAACCCGGAAGAGAGGAGTAATGATAATGCTACAGAATAGCAATAGCTCTTAGACTTATATACCGCTTCACAATGCTTTTACAGCCCTCTCTAAGCGGTGTACGGAGTCAGCCTCTTGCCCCCAACAATCTGCGTCATCATTTTACCCACCTTGGAAGGATGGAAGGCTGAGTCAACCTTGAGTCTGGTGAGATTTGAACTGCTAAATTACAGGCAGTCAGCAAAAGTATACTGTAGTACTGCACTCTAACCACCGCAGCAGGTCATAAAATGGGGGCAAAACTCATTTAAATGTCTCCCTTAACAGCTTAGATTTTGGGCTCCATTGTGGTTGTAAGTCGGGGACTACCCATATACGCAGGAGATACTCTGCCTAATATAGAGTTTGAGCTTTATGTGTTGTGGCCCGACTCAAGACTATGGGGAGGTTGAGGAGGAACATGGGCCAGGAGTCCTGGACTCTGGGGAAGGCTCAGACATCAGTGAGGCAGATGAACAGCTGGAGCCTGTTCCCAGTGTGCGCATTCGCAGAGCTGCAAGGAGAAGGGGACAGCTAAGGAGCAAGGGCTGACTGGGGAGTAAAGGCACAGGTGGACGGTGAATGACCCCTCCCAGAGGGAATAAAGAGGAGCGACAGGGGAGTGGAGTTTGCAGGAGACAATTAGTTCGCTTAATTAGTGTGAAGATTTGTTAGTGACTCTCATAGACTCCTTGCAAAGTAGTTTCTTGTACAACCTTGTGTCTCTCCAAGCCTGATAACGTCTGTGGTTATAAATTCACCCTTGAAAGACTGTTTGCTGGGACTTTGCTGGATGGGAATGAGAGGAATTCACATGAGCTTAATAAAAAGGGTTTTGTCGGGACAAAGAGTTGGCTTCGTGATTTTGTGAAGCCTCGGTCAGAACATTATGTATACAGGTAGTCCTTGACTTACAACTGTTCATTTAGCGACCGTTTGAAGGTGCAACAGCACTGAAGGAAGTCACGTCCATCCAGTCCTCACACTTACAACTCTTGCAGCGTTCCCTTGGTTACAAGATCAAAATTCAGACTCCTAAGCAACCATATTCCCATCTTCTTCTTTTTCCAGGGAAAAATCCAAGAAACTAGCAGAGCAAGCGGCAGCTATCGCCTGTTTAAGAACTCTGGGCCTCCCCGAAGGCAAACGCCATGAGAACGCCAATCACGCCTTGCTTAACAAGCGCAAGAGGCAAGACCGGAAACTTTCGGACTGTAATGAAGACAGAGAAAGCTTTGTGGTCGACGCCGTTTGCAAAAAACCTCATTTTCTTCCCAAAGAATCCCTTTGCCACAGTTCCTAATCACCCCACTACCCTCCCTGGCATTTTACAACTATGCAGCTCTCTGGTTTGGTCCAAATTCTCTGCCCTTTGTTTTTCTTGGAGGCCATCAGATGGAACAGCTAAATTTGAATTTTGGTCCATATGCCTTGAGATAGGCAGGGAATCTCATACCGTTTTTTTTAATTTTTGCACCTTTTAATTGGGGCAATTAATCCTTTTGCGCCAGGGGCCCCACCCTTTTCCGTCTCCAGGAGTCACAGAGCAGGCATTCCTCAAATTCTTTATTTCGGTTGTCGTCCTCTCGACAGATCATTAAACCTTGCAAGATATCGGCTCTCTTCACTCAAGCCTCTAGTGTCCTTCTGCCAAAATCTCACAACCTACATGATGCTTCAAGATCGTTTAAAATTTAATTGTGGCTGCTTTCACACACTGCAGGACTGGGTAGTGGTGTGTGAGTGTGAGTCACCCATCACGGTGCCTGCAAATGCCACACTGCTGACTTTGTCTCGAGCAAGGGGCAGAGGTGGTATTCAGCAGGTTCTGACCAGTTCTGGAGAAACGGTAGCGGAAATTTTGAATAGTTCGGAGAACTGGTAAATACTACCTCTGGCTGGCCCCGCCCCCATCTATTCTCTGCCTCCCGAGTCCCAGCTGGATTTTGCAGTA